GAGTTGAGTCAAGAATTGACATCACAGCACTCAGGGCATGATTCATCCTTATCTTCAGCAGCCAGCGCAGACTTCCAATACTGATGGTACCAGTCACAATCTGGTTATGTGTCTGTCTTGCCTTTCCTCTGAGTGTAGTCAGCCGGCCAAACCCTCTGGTTATACGCATGTGCCTCATTCTCTCCAGGCCATAATAATCTTCTTTCTCTTCTGATTCCGTTACTTGCTGTCAAAGGGCCTTGACCACATCTGCCTTGTCATGTATCAGTTCACCACCTAGTGGTGCAGATCCAGCCAATCCGTCTGTCTGTTCTTTACCTATTACATGGGCATAGCCTGAAGAAAAGATTCAAAGTATGCTCACTACCCGTGACCTTTCCAGTCAAGCTTGCCACTCTGCTTGAAGCACCCCTATCTTCACCTTTCTCAGCAAGCTTTCAGAGTCTGTTACAATTATGAGATGTGTATGCATGGTTATACTACATATACTTTCAGAGCTCTCGTCCTCCTCCTCGATCGATCATTTTGTCACCTCCAAGCTGCTACCCTATAGGTTTACCACACCATACTCAGATTTAAAAAGCTCAGTCTGGACGGCAGATCCCAGATACACAGCTCAACCAAAAAGAAAAGTTATTATCAGGGCACCGGCACCAGCTTCACCAGTCAGGTATCACCTGCAGTTATCATTACCACCACCATCATCATCATCATCATCTACTTATCACCACCGTCGTTGTCATCATCATCAACAGTCACAATTATTACCAATGTCATCATCATCAACATCATTACCTTCACTGTTATCATCATCATCATCATCGTCATTGTCATCATCATAACCATTATCATCAACACTGTCACAATCCTCACCTATGTCATCACTGTCAACAACATTATTTTCAATTTCCCCATCATCATCATGATTGTCAATATCACCATCATCATCAACTTCATCACTGACATCATCAATATCAATATGTCATCATCATCCTCTTCATCATTATCAACTTCATCATCACACTGCATTCTGACACTAACGGTCATTAAATGAGCTTTCATAACAGGACAACTGGTAGACAGGACATACCTTCCCAGCAGACATCATGCCTTCCCAGCAGACATCATACCTTTTACAGCAGACATCATACCTTCCCAGTGGACATCACACCTTCCCAGCAGACATCATACCTTCCCAGCAGACATCATGCCTTCCCAGCGACATCATGCCTTCCCAGCGACATCATACCTTTCCAGCGATTTCATACCTTTCCAGCGACATCATACCTTTCCAGCAGAAATCATACCTTTCCAGCAGAAATCATGCCTTCCCAGCGGACATTATACCTTCCCAGCAGACATCATACCTTCCCAGCGGACATCATACCTTCCCAGCAGACATCATGCCTTCCCAGCAGACATCATACCTTCCCAGCAGACATCATACCTTCCCAGCAGACATCATACCTTCCCAGCAGACATCATGCCTTCCCAGCAGACATCATGCCTTCCCAGCGGAAATTATACTATCAGTTTTGTATTTCATATGCAAACAACAGCACAGCTGTTGCTAAGAAAATCTTCAAACAAAGACAAACGCTTTAATAACACTATGGCAATTCAAAAAAACTACTGGTAGACAAAACATATCTTCCCAGCAGATGGCACACTTCTTATCCAATCACTAAATGAGCTTTGATAGGATTATGGTTAACAATACAATGCCACTTGTATACAGCACATACCTAACTAGTAGACAGAATTTCTTCCAAGAAACACCAAACCTTTCCACCAGACAGCTTACCTTCCCAGTAGACAGAATACCTTCCCAGTAGACAGAATACCTTCCCAGTAGACATAATACCTTCCCAGTAGACAGAATACCTTCCCAGTAGACAGAATACCTTCCCAGTAAACAGAATACCTTCCCAGTAGACAGAATACCTTCCCAGTAGACAGAGTACCTTCCCAGTAGACAGAATACCTTCCCAGTAGACAGAATACCTTCCCAGTAGACAGCATACCTTCCCAGTAGACAGCTTGCCTTCCCAGTAGTCAGCTTGCCTTCCCAGCAGACAGCTTGCCTTTCCAGCAGACAGCATACCTTCCCAGTAGACAGCTTGCCTTCCCAGCAGACAGCATACCTTCCCAGTAGACAGCTTGCCTTCCCAGCAGACAGCACACCTTTCCCATAGACAGCCCACCTTTCCCCATAGACAGCATACCTTTCCAGTAGACAGAATACCTTCCCAGTAGACAGCTTGCCCTCCCAGCAGACAGCATACCTTCCCAGCAGACAGCACACCTTTCCCATAGACAGCCCACCTTTCCCCATAGACAGCATACCTTTCCAGTAGACAGAATACCTTCCCGGTAGACAGCATACCTTCCCAGCAGACACATATACAGCTTTCCCAGGCAGACAGCAGCATACCTTCCCAGTCCAGCATAGACAGCCCACCGTTTCCCATAGACAGCACACCTTCCCAGCAGACAGGATACCTTACCAGCCTTTCCAGCATGACATTCTCGCATAATTCTCCAGTAGACAGACAGCATACCTTCCCCACCTTCCCCATAGACAAGTCATACCTTCCCAGTAGACAGCATACCTTCCCAGCAGACAGCATATAAGACACATATTTTCCCATTTCACAGCATACTTTCTGATAGCAGACAGCATGAGCAGACAGCACAGCATCTTTGTCTGTTTCACATACATGCACAGCTATTTCCCCGCACACTAAATACCTTCCCAATCCTTAAATGGGCTACTAAAAACATCCTTAAATGGGCATTTCACAAAAAAACTACTGATACATCTGAGATGAGTCTGTGGATACACAGTTTCATCATTCTAACATAATGGTCTGTGATGTCTTCTCAAGGATATGCAACTAATCTAACTGGCAAATAACAGCTTCATAGTGGACACTACACTGTCTTTTCAACCACTGAATAAAGGAGAAATGGCCGGGCAACCAGTGGTAACAACAGTTACAAGACAAAGTAAATGGCACTATATTAGAAACCTCCTGAGGAGACACCAGCAGAGACTAACCAAACAGGCACTGAAATGTGACATAAAGGGACTGAGGAAGTGATGCCATCAACAACAACAAACAATCTACCCCCCCCCCCCCCCAAAAAAAAAACATAAAATGAATGTTGGGTTCTTTATTAATATCCTACCTCACATGATGTCACATGACAGTTTAACATTTCAGAGGATAAAAAGACTGGGTTTTCCGGCTTCCTGATGCTCTTAGCCACCTCAAAACATCTAGAACCGGCCCTAACCTCAACCCACCTACATCCCACGAGACAGTGCAGCCTAGATCCCACGACTGCATGCAGACTATCACCCCCCCGCCCCCCCCCCGAAATATTATACTGCCCCATGACCTGTGGATTTCCCATGTTTGGGATAGGATATTAATAAAGCACCGAATGTTGATGGGGCAGGTAAAAGCTGCTGGACTGAATTCCACACAGGAAATGGAAGTGACTGGACAGGGTAGAAGTGACTGGACAGGGTAGAAGTGACTGGACAGGGTAGAAGTGACTGGACAGGGTAGAAGTGACTGGACAGGGTAGAAGTGACTGGACAGGGTAGAAGTGACTGGACAGGGTAGAAGTGACTGGACAGGGTAGAAGTGACTGGACAGGGTAGAAGAGAATGGAGGAAAAGCCCTGTATGACATTGAATGGCACAACAGGACAATAATCATAATGAATAATTAATAATTAAAACCTAATGGTATGCAACATACCTTCACAGCACATACCTTCACAGCACATACCTTCACAGCGCATACCTTCACAGCGCATACCTTCACAGCGCATACCTTCACAGCGCATACCTTCACAGCGCATACCTTCACAGCGCATACCTTCACAGCGCATACCTTCACAGCACATACCTTCACAGCACATACCTTCACAGCACATACCACAGCACATACCTTCACAGCACATACCTTCACAGCACATACCTTCACAGCACATACCTTCACAGCACATACCTTCACAGCACATACCTTCACAGCACATACCTTCACAGCACATACCTTCACAGCACATACCTTCACAGCACATACCTTCACAGCACATACCTTCACAGCACATACCTTCACAACACATACCTTCAAAGCAGGCGTCACTCTCTCTGTCTAATAATTAAGTGGATTATAAAAAGATCATGGCAATCCCCAGGTAAATGGCACATTTAACTCGTCCGAAAAAGAACTGGCACCATTATAAATAATATTTAAGAATAAAATTTTCTATCAAGTAGAAATATACTTTTCTACAGACACATGTAACAATGCTTGAGAAATTGTAGACCGAACAGCATGAATCACATCCTTGAAGAAGGAAACAGTCGATGACCACAAAAAGCTGTGTTATTTTATCTCCATTCATTCCATGTGAAATTCACACACTGTTCTGTTATTCTAGCTCCACCCATACTAGTCTCAGCTCCACCTACTTTGAATGTTTATGGTGAGAAATGACAGGTGCCTGTCAAATAAGTTTGTGTTAGTGTGCGGGGTTAATACAGCGTGCACTTATTTTACACTGTCCGATACAATACGATATTTATTATGTATGTCAATGCTGTACAGTTGTTGTAGTAAAAAAAAAAAAAAACTTCCACTGTTTCAGAAAGTTATTTGCTCACAGTCTTCCTAAACAATTCAGGCGGATGAAGTGACCTTGGTGGGCGATAATTCTTCACAGTTAATCATTCAGGAATCATGACCAGCAAAATGAGATTTTCAGCCATTTTGCAAGGCGGGATCGGGGACGGAAGAAGTCGCAGGAAGCGCTGGGCTCTTTCCACAGCCAGCCCTTCTGCATCCATCCTCCCAAAAAAACAGCAGAATACGATCCAGTAAATCACATACATGCATGTGGCCACAAAACTTAGCCAACAAAAAAACACAGATGCATCATAATAGAAATTTGAAGTTAGCCATCGATCAAACGGCACAAAATCACAGAAGTTCGTACTGTCGTAGGTGCATTCGCTGGATGATGTCTCTACAATCGTCAAAGACCCGACGAATATTTTCGGTGTCCACTGCACATGTGAAATGAGGGTAGCAGTAGTGCCGACCATCTCCGCTGGCGGTACTAATTCTCTGTGGATGCAAAAGTAATGTGTCCCTGTTTAATATCAAGAAAACTATACAAGCAGAGGGTTAGAATGAAAAAGTGAACACAATAAAACATATGAAACAAACATTTTTATCTTCTGCCTTTTACCAATGAGCTGGTGGAGAACCTATATTCCACCCATGAACTGACTGAGGACCTATATTCCACCCATGATCTGAGGACCTATATTCCACCCATGAGCTGGTGGAGAACCTATATTCCACCCATGAGCTGGTGGAGAACCTATATTCCACCCATGAGCTGGTGGAGAACCTATATTCCACCCATGAGCTGATGAAGAACCTATATTCCACCCATGAGCTGACTGAGGACCTATATTCCACCCATATAGGTGGAGAACCTATATTCCACCCATGAGCTGGTGGAGGACCTATATTCCACCCATGAGTTAGTGGAGAACCTTTTTTCCACCCATGATCTGACTGAGGACCTATATTCCACCTATGAGCTAGTGGAGAACCTATATTCCACCCATGAGCTGACTGAGGACCTATATTCCACCCATGAGCTGGTGGAGGACCTATATTCCACCCATGATCTGACTGAGGACTTATATTCCACCCATGAGCTAGTGGAGAACCTATTCTCTGCACATGAGCTGACTGAGAACCTATATTCCACCCATGAGCTAGTGGAGAACCTATACTCCACCCATGAGCTGACTGAGAACCTATATTCCACCCATGAGCTGGTGGAGAACCTATATTCCACCCATGAGCTAGTGGAGAACCTATACTCCACCCATGAGCTGACTGAGAACCCATGTTCCACCGAGCTAGTGGAGAACCTATACTCTACCCATTAGCTGACTGAGAACCCATATTCCACCCATGAGCTGAGTGAGAACCTAGATTGCACCCATGAGCTGACTGAGAACCCATATTCCACCCATGAGCTAGTGGAGAACCTATACTCCACCCATTAGCTGACTGAGAACCCATATTCCACCCATGAGCTAGTGGAGAACCTAGATTGCACCCATGAGCTGACTGAGAACCCATATTCCACCCATGAGCTGGTGGAGGACCTATGTTGCACCTATAAGCTGGTGGAGAACCTATGTTGCACCTATAAGCTGTTGGAGAACCTATGTTGCACCTATAAGCTGGTGGAGAACCTATGTTGCACCTATAAGCTGGTGGAGAACCTATATTGCACCTATAAGCTGGTGGAGAACCTATGTTGCACCTATAAGCTGGTGGAGAACCTATGTTGCACCCATAGCTGGTGGAGAACCTATGTTGCACCTATAAGCTGGTGGAGAACCTATGTTGCACCTATAAGCTGGTGGAGTGCCTTTGTTCCATTTATGAGCTGGTTAGAAGGCCTATGCTCCTGTGGGAGATGACAGGTAGAAGATTTCCTTCTAGTGTCTATGATTTGAAATCTGGTTTTAATTTGATAACTAGAATATTTTTCTGTTGCTGCTACTTCATCTACCTTCATTGTCATCATCACCATCTGCCACAACTACAACTCTTTCGCAACAAAGCTCTGTCCCAACATTTCTATCTCAACAACAACTCTGTCCCAACATTTCTATCTCAACAACAACTCTGTCTCAACCACTTTATCCCAACTGCAACTTTGTCTGAACAACTTTCTCTCAACAGCAACTGTGTTCCAACAACTTTATCTCAATAAGAGCTCTATTAAAACAACTCTACCCCCCCCCCCCCCCCCCCAAGCTTTATCTATCTCAAAGCAATCTCTACTATCAACTATCTCACATGACTGCCTCTTATCTCTATCTCACATGACAGCCTCTTATCTCTATCTCACATGACAATCTTATCTCTATCTCACATGACATGACAGCCTCTTATCTCTATCTCACATGACAGCCTCTTATCTCTATCTCACATGACAGCCTCTTATCTCTATCTCACATGACAGCCTCTTATCTCTATCTCACATGACAGCCTCTTATCTCTATCTCACATGACAGCCTCTTATCTCTATCTCACATGACAGCCTCTTATCTCTATCTCACATGACAGCCTCTTATCTCTATCTCACATGACAGCCTCTTATCTCTATCTCACATGACAGCCTCTTATCTCTATCTCACATGACAGCCTCTTATCTCTATCTCACATGACAGCCTCTTATCTCTATCTCACATGACAGCCTCTTATCTCTATCTCACATGACAGCCTCTTATCTCTATCTCACATGACAGCCTCTTTATCTCACATGACAGCCTCTTATCTCTATCTCACATGACAGCCTCTTATCTCTATCTCACATGACAGCCTCTTTATCTCACATGACAGCCTCTTATCTCTATCTCACATGACAGCCTCTTATCTCTATCTCACATGACAGCCTCTTTATCTCACATGACAGCCTCTTATCTCTATCTCACATGACAGCCTCTTATCTCTATCTCACATGACAGCCTCTTTATCTCACATGACAGCCTCTTATCTCTATCTCACATGCCTCTTTACTCACATGCCTCTTATCTCTATCTCACATGACAGCCTCTTATCTCTATCTCACATGACAGCCTCTTATCTCTATCTCACATGACAGCCTCTTATCTCTATCTCACATGACAGCCTCTTATTTCTATCTCACATGACAGCCTCTTATTTCTATCTCACATGACAGCCTCTTATTTCTATCTCACATGACAGCCTCTTATTTCTATCTCACATGACAGCCTCTTATCTCTATCTCACATGACAGCCTCTTATCTCTATCTCACATGACAGCCTCTTATCTCTATCTCACATGACAGCCTCTTATCTCTATCTCACATGACAGCCTCTTATCTCTATCTCACATGACAGCCTCTTATCTCTATCTCACATGACAGCCTCTTATCTCTATCTCACATGACAGCCTCTTATTTCTATCTCACATGACAGCCTCTTATCTCTATCTCACATGACAGCCTCTTATCTCTATCTCACATGACAGCCTCTTATCTCTATCTCACATGACAGCCTCTTATATCTATCTATCTCACATGACAGCCTCTCTATCTCTATCTCACATGACAGCCTCTTATCTCTATCTCACATGACAGCCTCTTATCTCTATCTCACATGACAGCCTCTTATCTCTATCTCACATGACAGCCTCTTATCTCTATCTCACATGACAGCCTCTTATCTCTATCTCACATGACAGCCTCTTATCTCTATCTCACATGACAGCCTCTTATCTCTATCTCACATGACAGCCTCTTATCTCTATCTCACATGACAGCCTCTTTATCTCACATGACAGCCTCTTATCTCTATCTCACATGACAGCCTCTTATCTCTATCTCACATGACAGCCTCTTATCTCTATCTCACATGACAGCCACTTATCTCTATCTCACATGACTGCCTCTTTATCTCACATGACAGCCTCTTTATCTCACATGACTGCCTCTTATGTCTATCTCACATGACAGCCTCTTATCTCTATCTCACATGACAGCCTCTTATCTCTATCTCACATGACTGCCTCTTATCTCTATCTCACATGACAGCCTCTTAACTCTATCTCACATGACAGCCTCTTATTTCTATCTCACATGATAGCCTCTTAACTCTATCTCACATGACAGCCTCTTATCTCTATCTCACATGACAGCCTCTTATCTCTATCTCACATGACAGCCTCTCTTATCTCTATCTCACATGACAGCCTCTTATCTCTATCTCACATGACAGCCTCTTAACTCTATCTCACATGACAGCCTCTTATCTCTATCTCACATGACAGCCTCTTATCTCTATCTCACATGACAGCCTCTTTATCTCACATGACATCCTCTTATCTCACATGACAGTCACTTATCTCACATGACAGCCTCTTATCTCACATGACAGCCTCTTATCTCAGATGACAGCCTCTTATCTCACATGACAGCCTCTTTTTTCACATGACAGCCTCTTACCTCACATGACAGCCTCTTATCTCACATGACAGCCACTTATCTCAAATGACAGCCTCTCATCTCTATCTCACATGACAGCCTCTTATCTCACATGACAGCCTCTTATCTCACATGACAGCCACTTATCTCATATGACAGCCTCTTATCTCATCCGACAGCCTCTCATCTATATCTCACATAACAGCCTCTCATCTCTATCTTACATGACAGCCTCTTATCTCACATGACAGCCTCTCATCTCACATGACAGCCTCTCATCTCACATGACAGCCTCTCATCTCACATGACAGTCTCTTACCTTACATGACAGCCTCTTACCTCACATGACAGCCTCTTACCTCACATGACAGCCTCTTATCTCACATGACAGCCTCTTACCTCACATGACAGTCTCTTATCTCACATGACAGCCTCAATTCTCTCACGACATCAATACCCACATCTTCCACACAACACAACATCAACACCCACACCTTCCACACCATACAACATCAACCCACACATTCCACAGCACACACAAATTGTGAAAAACACAATCATTAAAAAACTTAATTTAAAAAACCCACCAAAAACTCATCCCTAATAAAGTATTTTGCCCTCAGTACCTCCGGATCATCCCCTGGCTCAGTGAAAGCTGAAAGAGAGACACAACAGAAAACTGACAGCAAAATTTATCAAGATTAAATCAAAACTAACAACACCTGTGGCACACACACTGTCCTAATGACAGGGCGTCTACACACTTGAGACCTCTGTAAAGTTTTCAATTCTAGTACAGCAGCACTTTCTGCAACAAATGTGCCTTTATATGATATTTGCACAGCACTTTCCTGTCATGGAATGTTTGCACAGCACTTTCCTGTCATGGAATGTACACACAATAGAATTTGTTTCAACATTTCTGATGCATCAGCATGTTTATATTTGCTGTCTCTAAAAGTGATGACCTTTGGCTAACTTGACAATGACTTCACCTTGAACACGCTTGTGTGCCAGAATAAACAAATTAACAAGCAGAGGTATTTAATTAAACATGTAGTAATTTAAATACCAAATATATTTCTCATTTGTAATGATCATACTGCATCATACCACACTTGTATCAACAGCTATAAGACAGAGAAAAAGGTACTCATATTAAAAACATTCTTGAATGTTGAATTAAAAATTGACATCACAGAACTCGGGACACTCCCATGAGTTCTCAGTCCCTCATCTTCAGTAGCAAGCAAAGAGTTTCAATTCCAATGGCACCAGTAACTGTCTGATTGTGTATCCATCTCATCCTTTCCCTGAGTGTTCAGCGTCCAGCCAGATCTCCTGGTAACTCCTTGCAGCACCATTTTACTTAGACCTTAATGATCTATCTGTGCCTCCGCACTGTTCACTTGCTCCGAAAGTGCCCTCACATTATCTAACTTGTCATACATCAATTTACCACTAAGTGGTGCAGAGCCAGCCAGTCTATCTGCCTGCTCATTTCCCGACACACCGGCATGACCTGGAGAAAATACTTAGATTCTGCACATTCTTAGAAGATGAACAGAGGAGCACCAGATAGGCACTAAAATGGGAAAGAGAGTAAGTGAGGACCTTTAAAAGAAACCCTCTGTAAAACTGATGCACATGCAACACTCAGGTTCTGGAGCAGGACTGCAGTCCAGTAGTGGACGAGCAGCCAGAACCTTCCGCCAGAGTTTACAGCTGGTGAACGCGAAGAAGAAGAAAAAGAAGAAGAAGAAGAAAAGAAACCCTAAGGTGAACAAACAAAACAAATGTGCATCGAGACGGATTTTGTCAAATTATACCTTGGCTTCCAGATAGATTCAGAACAAAATGTGTGCCAGGCAATGTCTTGGGAAGTAAAGGTGATGGGTATGTTGCTGATTCTTCTTCTTCTTCTTCGTTCTTCTTCCTCCTTCTTCTTCCTTCTTCCTCCTTCTTCTTCCTTCTTCTTCCTTCTTCCTCTTCTTCCTCCTTCTTCTTTTTCTTCTTCTTCTCCTCCTCCTCCTCCTCTTCTTCTTCTTCTTCTTCCTCTTCTTCTTCTTCTTCTTCTTCTTTATGTTCACTGGCTGTAAACTCCAACAGAAAGTTCTGGGTGTTTGTCCATCTCCGGACATTAGTCTTGTTCCAGAGCCTGAGTGTTGCAAGCACATCTGTTTTACAGATCTGGCTTATTTTTTTTTTGTTGAGACTCCTGGTTCCGTACCTCTCAGGCATATGTACTCTAATTCTGAATGGTGCTCCCCACTTAGTCGACTCCTACGACTCCTGCTTGTTGGGAAGGCAGTGGGTCTATTCTTGTTTTCCCCACAATGAGGCTGCAGAGCTCACAAGAGGATCCAGCAATTATGATATTCCAGTTAACACCTGTCACTTGTAAGTTGTAAACACAGTTTCACAATCCTGAAATATCAGGTTTCAAAACTAACAGTAGGGAAACTGCTAGCCCAGTGCATCACATAAATTGTGACAACAGAGTGAATACTGTATATGGCTATGTGTTTTTAAGATCAGTAAAGGGAGGGGTGGACCTTGGTTTGCAACGACACTTGAAATGTACCTTGGCTTACAATGTATCGGCTTTCGCCATGGTTCAACTCTCTATGATTACTGCAACATAACTGCTTGCACTGCTCTAACGTCTAGGACTAAAACACAAACACCGCTCAGCCTCATTGTACATGCTATTAGTTTATTCTCTTACATTTATTCAACATGCTCCAATGATTATTCACACTTCCATCGCTTGCAACATATTCAGACACTGGTAATTCACATGACATAAAAACTACATCTTCTATTAACACAACCGTCTCCTACGACTTCTGGTAACCAGCTGATCACGAGTCTAGCTCAGGCCTGCCCACGTTTACTCAACTGGCCCCAAGACTCGTGCGGTTGTTTGTCGCACGGATTTTCCACTTTGCTCTCTGTTTGCGTGGAGACCATGCAAAGCAGGGTCATCACAAAGGGGCTTAACAATTTCCTGACTTCTGGGTACTAGAGTTTAACCTCAGTGATGGCTATGAATACAAAGGGTAAGAGAAGAGATGCTTTCATAGCACTAGGGAATTTATGGAGGTCAAAAGGAATTAAAACTTAAACTAAACTTAAAATTTTTAATTCTTATGTCATATCAGTACTTTTGTATGGGGCAGAAACATGGAGAACAACTACAAACATTCATTAACTGGTGCCAGCACCAAACAGAGGGAATTAAATGGTATGATCGAATCACTAGTGAAGAGCTTTGAGAGAGAACTAAACAAGTTCCAGTGGATCAAGAGGTGAAGAAAAGATGCTAGCATTGGATAGGACAGGACACACATTGAGAAAACCTGAAAACAATATAACTAGAACCATTTTGCCTTGGAACCCACAGAGGCACAGAAATAAAGGAAGACCAAAAAACACATGAAGAAGGGAGCTAAAGAGCAAAGTTAAAAAGATGGAGAGGACATGGGAAGAGCTGAATGCAACAGCGAAGGACAGAACGACCTGGCATGAGTTGGCTGAGAGCTCATGCTCCAATCAAGGTCCCTTTTTCCTGCCTTTAGGCGTATCTATCTAAAGGCATATCTATCTATATTAATAAAAATGTTAATTTTCCGTGGTCATTACCTACAGACTGCTAAACTACTGAACCGATTGTTTTCAAAATTTCACACAACGTTGCCCTTGACTCAATGGGTGTTTTTCTGTTAGACACATGAACGACGTAGTTCCAGCAACGGTCAAATCATTATTGGTTTCGTTGCCCGCCCGGATTTGTTTTTACTTGATTGGCCACCTTTGACTGCTGAGCAGGGCTGCCAATAAATGCCTTTTCTCACAGGTTCCATCTCCGACATTTCTTTACTGATCGCTTTCAAATTTTCACACAACGTTGCCTTAGACTCGGCGCGTGTTTGTATGTATGAGTGTTGCACAAACTATGAATGACGTAGCTCCAGCAACGATCATTTCATTAGTTATTTCGTTGCCTGCCCGGATTTGTTTTTAGTTGATTGGCCACCTTTGCCTGTGCAACACTGAACTTCCCATTATTTTTATAAAATTTCATTTCTACTAAATGCTCAAGTATTTGGTGGCACTCTGCCTTTCAAGCGGTTAATCGGCGTTCAATTCCCCGCTGGATGATATTGTTTTTTTCTGAGGGGGCATCTAACTGGGTAGCTGCCCCGTTTTGTTGTGGTTCATAGCTAGGCTGCGATATTTACACCTTTTTTTTGGCTCAGTTTTGGGGTTTACAGCTAGCCAGCGATAGCGGTGATGTGATGCTCACTGGTCATGTCACGGGTAATATTTGTTCGCCCTTGAGAGGGCGGTTGGCACTTTGTGTTGTGGTTTACAGTTAGGCTGCAATATCTGACCTAAAGTCTTTAGTTTTCAGTAGTATAGATGTGAGTATTCAGCTCTTCACTTGGATGTCCGGTGTTTGATTCCCTGCTGGGTGCTAATATTTATTTTTCCCTTAAAGGGGCAGTTGGCACGTTGTGTTGTGGTTTACAGCTAGGTTGCGATGTCTGCGCCTTACACCTAAAGACATCAGATTTCAGTACAGTCCTAATTAGCCTCCATCTGACACTTCCAGACACTGTTAACTGAGAGAGCTTAAAATATTATTTTAAAGTTCTAATTTCTTAACTGTTTTTATTTTAACAATGTGGCAACGTGATAGTTGTTAGCTCATTCTGAGAGGGAGATATGCTGGGAGGGAGGGAGGAGGGGGGGGGGGAGGGGTAATGACAGACACTGTTAGCTCAGAGAGCTTATAACTTTATTTTACAGTTCTCATTTCTTACATATTTAAATTTTAATACCGCTTCCTCAGCTATTCTTATTTTTTTTGGGGGGTGGGGGAGAGCCAGTCTGTTGGTCAGTTAGAGGTATAGCAGTCAGCTTTACTTTTACCTGTTTAAGCACAACAGATGCTTCAGCCTCAATACACAAAAAATATTTTTTCCCTCTCTAACAATGCACTTTATTCGACCATTACTATCGACATTCACTGATAAGTTTTGTGTTCTGGAGTTGGCATATCAGACTATCTCTGCAGCTGTGCAATGACTGATATTAACCATATGAGACAGGTGCGCTTTCTTTTTTCTTTCTTTTCCAGTTTACCATTCTGGGCCACAGCAACGCGCAGCCGGGTACAGCTAGTTGGGAATATAGGGCTTGATAGTTTTATAGACCAATCGACACATGGTGGGTGATGTGGTCAGCATCATGGCATCCGCCTTTACTTCCCAGGACTGCATCTGGTACCCACTCAAGGATGGGTAGACCTGGGAGTCCAGGATGCAAACCCATGATCTTCCAATCAACAGGCGGGTGTCTAGCGGGTGTCTAGTCGCCAACGCCACGGCGACTCCCATATGCCCGGTTGGTGGTTAAAAAGTCAGAAAAAAAGAAGATAATTGGTCAATTTAAAATAAACAATATTTGTGTGGTTTACGGACACTAGCATGAGAGTCGCACCGTGGAAGAGATCAGATCCTGACCAGGTAATATTCACAAAGACAACAGCAAGTGCCCTGTTGCCAACCTTTACTGTAAAGATGGTTAAAAAAAATGTTCGAATACTGTATCATTTAGAATGCAATGTTTCCAAGTGGGTTCTTGGGTACCACTTTCAGAAAGGGGGGGGGGGGGAGGATAGACCCGGTGCCACCCCCAACAAGCATGTCCTAAAAGGTGACTAATTAGGGATGTTTCCTTCAAGGCTGAAGTGCGTCTGCCTGAGATGCAAGGAACCGTCTGCAAACAAATAAGCCAGAACTGTAAAATGGATGCGAATGCAAAAACACTGAGTGAAGTTTGAAGACTTATTTTTGCTCCCAACACAAAATATTCATCGCCTGATGGAGGATTTGAACCCAGGTCAGAGCCTAACTTGCAAACCATGTGGCCAGCTGATCTTCTAAAATCCCACATCAACCAATATATTCTAGGACGGGTATATGATGTCAGGCAGGCAGCTAACTAACTAACCAGTTATTTACCAGTTTTGTTCAGGAGGTTCGGGCAATGAGCCAAATCTAAATCCCAATTTCACAATGTATCAGGATTCCATTCCCATTATCTGCAGTTTATAAAAAGACTGATCTCACAGCGGTATGAGAGTTGCACTGTGGAAGTGACTGCAGCCTCACCATGAAATATTCACAAACACAGCAGTGGACAAAACAAGAAACTTACCATCAGGGGGAACCTGGTATCTGACAAATTCAGGGAAATAGTCTTCTATCTTTGATTTGCCAGCTTTAACTTTCTCAGCTAATAGATCTTGCTTGTTTAAGAATAAAATTATTGATATTGTTCGTAGCCATCTGGACAAGGAAACAGAACATCAGAAAATGAAACAGAACATCAGAATATAAACCAGAACATCAGAAAATGAAACAGAACTTGGCAAAATATTAAGAGCATCATATTATGATACATAACGTCATATGACAAACACTATAAGATAATCTTCTGTGTCACTCATCCTCAAAGGAGCAGATAGCACGCTGTGCTGTGGTGTACAGCTAGGCTGTGATATCTGCAGCTTTTGGACCAACACATTTGATTTCAGTAAGACTTTAATTGGTCACCTTGTATGACATGTTTATTAAGGGTCAGTGGGTCAGTGGGTCAGTGGGTCAGTGGGTTTATTCTTCACTTCTCCAAAGATGAGGCCCTAGAACCTACATCTAGAACATCAGATGATGAATCAGAACATCAGATAATGAATCAGAACATCAGATAATGAATCAGAACATCAGATAATGAATTAGAACATCAGATAATGAATCAGAACACCAGATAATGAATCAGAACATCAGATAATGAATCAGAACATCAGATAATGAATCAGAACATCAGATAATGAATCAGAACATCAGATAATGAATCAGAACATCAGATAATGAATCAGAACATCAGATAATGAATCAGAACATCAGAAAATGAATCAGAACATTAGATGATGAATCAGAACATTAGATGATAAATCAGAACATTAGATGATGAATCAGAACATCAGATAATGAATCAGAACATTAGATGATAAATCAGAACATTAGATGATGAATCAGAACATTAGATGATAAATCAGAACATTAGATGATGAATCAGAACATTAGATGATAAATCAGAACATTAGATGATGAATCAGAACATTAGATGATGAATCAGAACATTAGATGATAAATCAGAACATTAGATGATGAATCAGAACATTAGATGATGAATCAGAACATTAGATGATGAATCAGAACATTAGATGATAAATCAGAACATTAGATGATGAATCAGAACATCAGATAATGAATCAGAACATCAGATGATGAATCAGAACATTAGATGATGAATCAGAACATTAGATGATGAATCAGAACATCAGATAATGAATCAGAACATCAGATAATGAATCAGAACATCAGATAATGAATCAGAACATCAGATAATGAATCAGAACATCAGATAATGAATCAGAACATCAGATAATGAATCAGAACATCAGATAATGAATCAGAACATCAGATAATGAATCAGAACATCAGATAATGAATCAGAACATCAGATAATGAATCAGAACATCAGATAATGAATCAGAACATCAGATAATGAATCAGAACATTAGATGATGAATCAGAACATTAGATGATAAATCAGAACATTAGATGATGAATCAGAACATCAGATAATGAATCAGAACATTAGATGATAAATCAGAACATTAGATGATGAATCAGAACATTAGATGATAAATCAGAACATTAGATGATGAATCAGAACATTAGATGATAAATCAGAACATTAGATGATGAATCAGAACATTAGATGATGAATCAGAACATTAGATGATAAATCAGAACATTAGATGATGAATCAGAACATTAGATGATGAATCAGAACATTAGATGATAAATCAGAACATTAGATGATGAATCAGAACATTAGATGATGAATCAGAACATTAGATGATGAATCAGAACATCAGATGATGAATCAGAACATTAGATGATGAATCAGAACATTAGATGATGAATCAGAACATCAGATAATGAATCAGAACATCAGATAATGAATCAGAACATCAGATGATAAATCAGAACATCAGATAATGAATCAGAACATCAGATAATGAATCAGAACATTAGATAATGAATCAGAACATTAGATAATGAATCAGAACATCAGATAATGAATCAGAACATTAGATGATAAATCAGAACATTAGATGATAAATCAGAACATCAGATGATGAATCAGAACATTAGATACTGAATTAGAACATCAGCTAATAAATTAGAACATCAGATGATGAATTCAAATATTGGATAATAACATAAAATATCACAAAATAAAACTGATTATTGGACAATATTCTTTTTAGCGTTCATCAACTGAAATTTTAGCGTTCATCAGCTGAAATTCTGGTGTAAAGTTCTGACTTTTTATCCATTTCTGAACTTTGACCTTGTTGCAGAACTTGAGTTTTGTGTGCCTATTCCTTTTACAGATCTATCTGGCTTATTTGTACGCAGACCAGTGTTTCCTCGACTCTCAGGCAGATGCACTACGACTCCGAAGGAAACTCCCCTAAATAACTTTTACGATATGCTTGTTAGGGAGGAAGTGGGTCTATCCCCCCCTCCCCCCAGAACACACATGGGGAACATTGGAGACAGGACAGATAACAGCCTCGATTAGTAGATAACAAAATGGAATATTTGAGCTGTCCTTAGTTACAGTGAGTTCAGAATTCACAATGAGTTGTCCTTAGTTACAGTGAGTCCAGAATTCACAATGAGTTGTCCTTAGTTACAGTGAGTCCAGAATTCACAATGAGTTGTCCTTAGTTACATTGAGTCCAGAATTCACAATGAGTTGTCCTTAGTTACAGCGAGTCCAGAATTCAGAATGAGTTGTCCTTAGTTACAGTGAGTCCAGAATTCACAATGAGTTGTCCTTAGTTATAGTGAGTCCAGAATTCAAAAGGTGGTAGGTAGTCAAATAAAGCTGGTCTTTTTGACCGGTCACCTTAGTAGTGCTCGTTAAATTATTGTTCTTGTTCTTTTTTATATCTACTCTGTACTGCTTCATTCCCACTCATACTGGAATATACTGAGCGACTCGTTTCTCCCGTCGTCAATCAATTCTGCCAACATAAGCAGCTTCACAGCTTCACTTAAACTGGTAGATACAATTTGATCTGGCGTACGTCAACACTGGTTGTTTCACCGAGGGCGCTGAAGGGGTGTCATTTCAAACCTGATAATCGGCACAGCAGTTAGGAAAGTCTGACAGTTCTGAGCTGGTCATATAGGCGTTCCGTAACCACATGCCCTCGAACAGTTAGATAGATGTAGACTTGTTGTTTGGGGGACCACGTTTCTGGGCTAGTTGGTTTAGCAGGCTGGCAGGGGCACTTAACCAATACAAGCGGACATCCATTAGATAATAACGTTTGCTTGAGAGTTTCTGAAAGATCTGAACATCAAGAAAGACTGGCATCTTGCCTCAGAAACTGAAATATTTTGGCCCTCATCAAACGGCACAGTGAATTGAAAAAAATAATAGCAGAAGGACTTTGAGAAGGAAAATGCATGTGGCAGGAAAGATGGCGGGAGACCATATTAAAAAATTTTTTTTATTATTTTGGCAGGAGTGATGAAAGTTTAGTTTTAACAAGAAAGACACTTCATTTTTTTTTCTTAAACGAACAAACAGATGAACAATAAACATTCTACTCCTAGTAACTGTATGTTTAGTTATCTCACGTTAGAATGCAACCACAATTACTACCAACACAGTAACTATAAATGAAAAGATCTGATGTGAAAGCAAAAGGTCAGACTTGGAGAAGGACTGATGACATCAAAGACTTTCTACCTCTATATGCAATGACAACAGCCATTGCTATCTATAAAACAATAGATCGCAAACTGCTTCTCCCCACGACACTTAACAGCAAACATGGAAAATGATGTTGACGACGAGTACCTGTTGTTCCAAATACTTTTAAACAGCTCTAAGGATTCCCGAAGTCGATTCTGAGTTGCGTCCTCTCGTAAAACCATGTTGTAGCCACTACAAGCTGTGACAAATATAATGGCTGTGACATCATTGAAACACTGTATCCACTTCCGCCTCTCATCCCTCTGCCCTCCAACATCAAACATGCTGAAAACACAAACATAAAAACAAATCATCACCCAGGTACAACTGCATACTGAATACAATGTGCTGGGTTGTCACATTATAGACTCCACTCAGAATGTGGTAACTATGATATGAAGATCAACATAGACAGAACAGAAGTGATGACATTCTCCAGAAAAGGAAGAAACACCAATATCAAAAGAATGAACACCAGTTAAAGCAAGTGAAGGATTTTACATATCTATGAAAAAAATTTTCAGAAGGGAAGAATTCATAAAAAAATCCAGGAAAGATGAAATAAAGCCAATCAAGTTTTAGGCCAAATGTTGAAATGCAAGCATGTGAATATGAACACTAAAGGAACACAATTCAACACAATATGTTTACCAATGCTTTGCTATCAATGTCAAAAATGGACACTGTCTTCAGGAGACGGAAGGAAAATATTCATGACAGAAATGAAATGTTTACGTACTATGCTAGATGTAACAAGGAGAGATCAACTTAGGGGTGATGATATTAGGGAGAAAGTCAGCACGGAACCAATACTGAACTGCATAGGTAGACAACAAATCAAATGGTTTGGCCATGTGACAATACTGGCAACAGACAGGGCACCACAGAGAGCACTGTTATACTGATACAGCTGTAATAGATCCAGAGGTCGACCACGCAGAACACGGACAGCAGAAATATCAGAGACATTGAAAAGTACTTTATATGAGGCGAACAGAAAGGCCTGTTCCAGAGATCTCTTCCTGCCCTGACGCCGCGAATCATTCCAGGAGCAGAGAGAAGACAGAAGTGAAGAAGATCTAGGTTTTACTCAACCAACTGTTCGTTTGTTCATTCATTTCAAGAAAATAAATTAAAAACTTGGAATTCATTCAACCAGCAATCAGCTTCATTTAACTGAGGTTTTAGTTCTGTGTTTTTGTCTTTCTTAGTGGCGTATGTTCACACCCAATTTTTGTTTGGAATATCAGCCTTATGGCCCACAATGGATTAAGCTTCAATCATCACTAATTACTGGCATCCTGAGAGCTAACATGCTGCAATAGCTGGAACATGCATAGAGAACAGCAGACAACCAATTGTCTCAACTCCATATTATTTATAGACCAGTTGCCTGAACAAAACTGACCAAGTCGCCATCTTTTGCCTATGTACCTGACCTGCAGATTCAACAAACACTCATACAAATTAAGTATGAGCCAAAGAGCTTTCTGCAAGTGTCCTTATTCTGAACAGACCCAAGAACATGTCCAACAAGACTGTCCTCTCTTGGAGTAGCTAAGAAACAACATTCAGCCACATACCCTAGACCTAGTAGCAAAGATTTTTGGCACTGCCTCAAGGCTGATACAAACCCCCCAGCTTCTGGCCAGTAGGCATGCGTCTAGCCACGGTTATACCAAGGCTTCCACAAACATGTATGAATACACACATATAGACATGTACACACATACAATGACAGCATAAAAAAAATTAATAGAACACACAAATTGTACCAGACAAACAAACAAACAAACAAAAGAAAACTTAATAAAAGTTTATAAAAAGACCAAACACTTACTGAAAGTTAACTTTATCAACAGAGAACCTAGTTTCAAAAATCCCTGATGTTAGCACACGACACCGAAGTATATCCTGCTCTGTTGGCGTGTACTCTGCTTGCTTGATGATGTGTACTCGATCTAAAAAACTGAGCAGAAAACAGAATTCACTCCGTTAATGTGGCGATTTGAGAGAATTAAATTACCTAAAAGAATCACTAATGTAAACCTGTAAGACAAGTAAACAAACTAAGGTCTTCTTCTTCGATCCTTCTGTCATAAAACCTTTTATTAGGAGACTATAGCCTTAACAAAATTTATCGTGTAGTCCAGATCTCCCCGTGTACCATACTGTTTTGTCTTAATTGAGGTTGGAACAGGTCAGATGGCCTCTCTGCTTTCAGCAAAAGTCTACAATGTTGGAGTACATGCTCCCCATTTTCTGGTGCCAGGTTGACGGGATACAACTCTTGTGTCTCCTACACCAAAAAACTCGAACATATGTTGGTGAAGTCTGCTGTCTCTAACCCTTTATCAGTAGGTGAAGAAAAGTCGCTGGCACTGGTCAGAACACACTGTTGAATGTTGAACTGAGAATTGACATCACAGCACTCGGGACACTCCCATAAGTGCTCCATCCCCATCTTCAGCAGCAAGCATTGAGCTCTGATTCCGATGGTACTAGTAACTGTCTGATTGTACAACCATCTCACCTTTTCCCTGAGTGTTCAGTGTCTGCCAGATCACCTGGTAACTCCTTGCTGCGCCATTCTCCTCAGACCGTAAGGATCTATTTGTGCCTCTGCACTGTTCACTTGCTCCCAACAGGCCCTCACAACATCCAGCTTGTCAAATATCAATTCACCACCAAGTGGTGCAGAACTGGCCAATATATCTGCATGGTGCCTGCTCATTTCCCAACACACCGGCATGACCTGGAGAAAATATGTAAAGGATGCTAACTACCCAGGAACTCTGAAGTGATGCTTGCCACTCTGCACGAAGCATGCCTGACTCCACCTTTCTCAATATGCTCTGTGAGTCAGTTACAATCACGGCATGTATGTACAGCTGATTCTCTAGCCAGAAGGCAGCAGTGACTGCCTCCACCTCCATTCTCAAACTATGTGTGATATCACATGCCAGACTTTGTTGCACTAAGCGATGTCCATTTGCTTTTGCTAGGAACCCTCATGCACTTGGTCTGCCCCTTAACACAGAGCCACCTGTATAGATAATCCCATCACTTGGTCTGCCCCTCAACACAGAGCCACCTGTATAGATAATCCCATCACTTGGTCTGCCCCTCAACACAGAGCCACCTGTATAGATAATCCCATCACTTGGTCTGCCCCTCAACACAGAGCCACCTGTATAGATAATCCCATTGGTCACTTGGTCTGCCCCTCAACACAGAGCCATCTGTATACCTGTATAGAGCCATATAATCCCATCACTTGGTCTGCCCCTCAACACAGAGCCATCTGTATAGATAATCCCATCACTTGGTCTGCCCCTCAACACAGAGCCATCTGTATAGATAATCCCATCACTTGGTCTGCCCCTCAACACAGAGCCACCTGTATAGATAATCCCATCACTTGGTCTGCCCCTCAACACAGAGCCATCTGTATAGATAATCCCATCACTTGGTCTGCCCCTCAACACAGAGCCACCTGTATAGATAATCACATCACTTGGTCTGCCCCTCAACACAGAGCCATCTGTATAGATAATCCCATCACTTGGTCTGCCCCTCAACACAGAGCCACCTGTATAGATAATCACATCACTTGGTCTGCCCCTCAACGCAGAGCCATCTGTATAGATAATCACATCACTTGGTCTGCCCCTCAACACCAAGCCATCTGTATAGATAATCCCATCACTTGGGCGGGAATTGTTGTGAATCATTTGTTGAACTTCTAATTCTGCAGCAACAGCTGGCCAGTCCCTGTACTCACAACCTAAAGTAATAAGAACTCTACACAAGTCTGAACCTTGACCCACTCCTCTCCTCGCTCAAAAATCTCAATCCTGCACACATGTATAATTGTGTATTCAGCTTGTGCCATCCATGACCTTAATCAGTCTGCGAACCTTAGCTCTACCCAGAACAGAATGGGTGCTGATAAGGATGACAGCAGTTTAACTGGTGTGTTTATGTACTGGAACTCACAGTGTCAAGAGGGGGGAAGGCAAATAAAAACACACACTGTGACACAGGATTGTCATTCACAACAACCCAGAAAAGACAAATTAGTGAAATGGAAATGAGATGTCTGAGAATGGCTCCAGTAGTAACCAGAAGAGATGAAATCACAAATGAGGTCATAACAGAAACAGTCAGCACAGAACCGGAAGAAAAAAAATGGCAAATCAGTTGTCTGTTCACTGAGAGAGAACGCCTTGTGGTGCCTCACTGTACAAAGCATACACCAAAAGAGAAGAAGGACAGAGCACAAAGCAGACCAAGAAAAAGATTGAAAGATAATATCAGAGAAATTCTACAACACAATCTATGGTCAAGGCGGCCAGGAGAGCTAGAAGCGAAACCATAAATCTTCCTCGACGGCCGCAGCAGCAAAAAAGGAAGCAAAGAAGAAAAAGGATGAGAAAGAAGAGAAGAAGTAGAACGAGGAGGAGCAGAAGAAGAAAAACAGGGACAAGAAGAGGAAGCGAGCATGTAGGACCGCATGATTAGTGTTATTGCCACAAACTGTGCATATTATGATTTTTATTTTTGCCCCTGACAGAAAAACTCTATCATCTTACCAGAGTCAAACCCAGGTCTCCTGCACGGGAGCCCGACTTTGTAACCACTCAGCCAACTGCTCCTCTGAACTCAAAAGTGAAATGAGAATAATGGAGAGGGCAGGGGTGAGCAAAGGATAGAACCACTTTGTGAGAGTTGGTTGAGGGACTATGCTCCACTGGGGCGATTAAGGGTAGAAGAAGAAGAAGAAGAAGAAGAAGAAGAAGAGAAGAAGAAGAAGCAGCAGCAGAAGAAGAAGAAGATGATGAAATAGAAGAAGAAGAAGGAGACGGAATAGGAGAAGAAGAAAAAGAGGATGAGAAAAAGAAAAAGAAGCAGCAGATGAGGAAGAAGAAGAAGAAGAAGAAGAAGAAGAAGAAGAAGAAGAGAAAGAAGAAAGAAGAAGAAGAAGAAGAAGAATAAATAAAAATAGAGTAGACCTGGGTTCACAACGCAGCCGCCGTGGTCTCGCGACTAGAAGCTCGCCTGCGGATAAGAAGGTCCTGGGTTCCGGTCCCGACAGGGGCCGCCTTTTTTAATCTTGGCTCCCAGGTCGACCCAGCCTGGAGTGGGTACTAGGCACAGTCCTGGAAAGCAAAGGCGGCCAGCTTGATGCTGACCACATCACCCACCGAGTGCCGTTTAGTCTATACAATACAGGTCTAGCCCTATATGCCCAATAGGCCTGAAGGTGTGGAAAGGGTTCTTTGGTTAGTTCACAACTGGGAGCCGCCTTGGTTCACAACTGGGAGCCGCCTTGGTTTCCAACTGGGAGCCGCCTTGGTTCACAACTAGGAGCCACCTTGGTTCACAACTGGGAGCCGCCTTGGATCACAACTGGGAGCCGCCTTGGTTCACAACTGGGAGCCGCCTTGGTTCACAACTGGGAGCCGCCTTGGTTCACAACTGGGAGCCGCCTTGGTTCCCAACTCAGAGCCAACTTGGTTCACAACTGGGAGCCGCCTTGGTTTCCAACTCGGAGCCGCCTTGGTTCACAACTCGGAGCCGCCTTGGTTCACAACTGGGAGCCGCCTTGGTTCCCAACTTGGAGCCAACTTGGTTCACAACTGGGAGCCGCCTTGGTTTCCAACTCGGAGCCGCCTTGGTTCACAACTGGGAGCCGCCTTGGTTTCCAACTGGGAGCCGCCTTGGTTCACAACTGGGAGCCGCCTTGGTTCCCAACTCGGAGCCGCCTTGGTTCACAACTGGGAGCCGCCTTGGTTCCCAACTCGGAGCCAACTTGGTTCACAACTGGGAGCCGCCTTGGTTCCCAACTCGGAGCCGCCTTGGTTCACAACTGGGAGCCGCCTTGGTTCCCAACTCGGAGCCAACTTGGTTCACAACTGGGAGCCGCCTTGGTTCCCAACTCGGAGCCGCCTTGGTTCCCAACTCGGAGTCAACTTGGTTCACAAATGGGAGCCGCCTTGGTTCCCAACTAGGAGCCAACTTGGTTCACAAATGGGAGCCGCCTTGGTTCCCAACTCGGAGCCAACTTGGTTCACAACTGGGAGCCGACTTGGTTCTCAACTCGGAGCCAACTTGGTTCACAATTGTGAGCCGCCTTGGTTTCCAACTCAGAGCCAACTTGGTTCACAACTCGGAGCCGCCTTGGTTCTCAACTCGGAGCCAACTTGGTTCACAACTGGGAGCCGCCTTGGTTCTCAACTCGGAGCCGCCTTGGTTCCCAACTCGGAGCCAACTTGGTTCACAACTGGGAGCCGCCTTGGTTCCCAACTCGGAGCCAACTTGGTTCACAACTGGGAGCTGCCTTGGTTCCCAACTCGGAGCCGCCTTGGTTCACAACTGGGAGCCGCCTTGGTTCCCAACTCGGAGCCAACTTGATTCACAACTGGGAGCCGCCTTGGTTCTCAACTCGGAGCCAACTTGGTTCACAACTGGGAGCCGCCTTGGTTCTCAACTCGGAGCCGCCTTGGTTCCCAACTCGGAGCCAACTTGGTTCACAACTGGGAGCCGCCTTGGTTCCCAACTCGGAGCCAACTTGGTTCACAACTGGGAGCCGCCTTGGTTCTCAACTCGGAGCCAACTTGGTTCACAACTGGGAGCCGCCTTGGTTCTCAACTCGGAGCCGCCTTGGTTCCCAACTCGGAGCCAACTTGGTTCACAACTGGGAGCCGCCTTGGTTCCCAACTCGGAGCCAACTTGGTTCACAACTGGGAGCCGCCTTGGTTCCCAACTCGGAGCCGCCTTGGTTCACAACTGGGAGCCGCCTTGGTTCCCAAATCGGAGCCAACTTAGTTCACAACTGGGAGCCGCCTTGGTTCCCAACTCGGAGCCAACTTAGTTCAAACCTGGGAGCCGCCTTGGTTCCCAACTCGGAGCCAACTTGGTTCACAACTAGGAGCCGCCTTGGTTCCCAACTCGGAGCCAACTTGG